ATTCACAACCATTCCTCCATTGTTCAGTCTTTTATAAATTTCATAAATTTCAGTCTTTTCAGCCACATATTTTCCCATTGTTCCATCTGTATTATAACCAAAATTTTTAGCCCACTTCATCATACATTCTTTCACTTGTTCTTCTTTTTCAAATTTCAGTAAAGGTTTATATATTTTAGCAATTACATGTTCATCATTCGTACACAATTCAGTCTTACAGTGTTCAAAACTATAAATTCTTTTTTCCCTTGACAAAATTCTAGTATCTCATGATAAGTTAGCCATTTGTGTTTCCCTATTATTTCTCATCTATAAAATGCTTCTTGTGCTGAGAGCCACAGAGGTGTTTTTGGGCACAACCTGGGTTTGTATCTGTTCCATATGCTCAGTATGGCATGTCTAACATAATGATTTTCAAAATCCACATTAACCTTGACTTTATCGTACCACCATTGGTAAGTATTTCAGAAACATGAATACAGTTTCCTAGTTGCTGTGGTTCATTAATTAAAACAATATTTTTTGCACCAAAACCCAAAGGCCACTTAAAAGTATCAGTAACATACTTACCTTCCTACCAACTGGCTGTCAGCTAACATCCCTGTTTTCACTCATGGCATCCTATAAAGAAAGGACTGTTGCCAAATAATTCTAACAAATCATGCACAGATTCTTTTTGTGTTACTTCCTCCTCAGATAAAGCCAACCTACCAAGCCGGCCACCAGTGGCTGTCTTGCCTCTAGGAACTGGCAATGATCTGGCCCGCTGCCTTCGTTGGGGTGGAGGTGAGTAACAACTACCAGCAGGCCTAGTAGTCCTTCCCTCTGCTAAACCTATGAACTCCCAGAGCTTGAGCATTTGCTTTGATCTTATGAAGGCTATTCATCATATCATATTTCTTCCAAGCCTTGGTTATGACCAGTGAGCCTACTGAATACCAGCATGGAAAGGAACTTGAGAGGAAGGCAACCAAACTAATGAGCTTAGTCAGCCTCTTGATTTGTTTCTGGAGTTGTAGATTCTGGGTATGGTCTATTGTGGTTCCAGGAGATCCCAAAACTTGATGTTTGGCCCCATCCCCACCTCATGGATGTGCGAGAGACGCCATGTTGCTCCAAGGAATGTGAATTATTAGTTAAATTGAGACCTTTCATTTTTTCTAACAAAAGTTCTGCATGTACAAAGATTGCAGCAATTAAGGAAAAGAATGCAGTAGTGAAACTCTAATCAGCATCTGACCCAGAGAGTTTCAGAGAAGGAGCAACTGATAATTTAAACATGGTTTGGAGTCTTGAGAGGGAGATTAGATTGAAGTGCAATCAAAAAGTTCTAAACTGCACTAGGGAAAGAAGAAAAAACTATTTGTACTGAAAAAAAGATAGGAAAATGGAGAGAAGCTTTGGATTTTTTCACTTGCTTGCTTTTATGAATTTGAGTTTTGATTAAAGTGGGACTAAGTAGTGAATGAAGGACTCTACTTTCTATTTGGGGGGCGGGGGCTGGTCTTTAAGTCATTGTTGATACCTGGCAACTGCCTGGACAAGTTCCTGCAGTTTTCTTGACAAGATTTTGGAAGTAGTTTGCCATTGCCTGCTTCCCAGAGCTGAGAGAGACTGGCCCAAATCCATTGGTTCATTAATTTGGTTTCTTTTCATCTCTACTGTGTGCTCTTTTGATTATATTTATATCTTTCTGTACCTTTAATTTGTAATGAAATAATTACAATGAAGGAAGAAGACTTCATTTATAAATGAAATCTAGAAGTATGTCTGGGAAAGGATTCTATTCTGACAATAAGGTTTGTTGTTGGGAATAAGGTGATGTCAAAATCTAAAGCTTTAGGAGACAGATGAAGTTGAGCTCTAAATAAATCCCATTTAGAAGTAGACTTCCACAACATGATTAGGCTTCTCTCATATTCTATCTTTTAAAAAATCCAACCTGTAGAATTTGAATTCATATATTCATGAGTTGAACATATGAGTCCAAGTATTAATACCTCACCATTTATAATGAGATATAGCAATTAAGAGGGATGAAGCCCAGTTGGGGCACCCTTTCTTCAGATCTCCACTCAGCCATTTAATTTCTGCATACTTCTCATGGTCACTGCCTTTCTGAGCAGGAGTAAATAGTCAAAAGCACAGCTACACATCTGAAATGAATCAACTTCTGCTTTTTAAGGGCTTCTGACAGAGTTAGCTCTGTATCACAACTGTTTTCCATTCTGGCTTAAGTTATTCCACACTAGCAATTTATAGCATCTTGTAGGGCTACCCAACCATTTTTGTGCCAAAATAATAGTAAAGCAGGCAATCTTTATATCACTTTACTGATGGGTAGGTGATGCTGTGAAGATGTTTTAAGTTGCTAGTATGAAAACAACCTTAATTTTGCTCTTAAACAGTACCAATATGAGCAGTAGCATGTGAATTAGTGTTACTATATAAGCAGGAAAAACAAGCTTGAACTTCCGGGCTGGATTCACTCTTAGTTGAAGATTGCCTGGACAAGGTGAGAAAAGGCCAGATGACAGAGTTTTTTCCCTGGCCTTTCCTAAAAAGTGTGATCATAGATCAATGACCGTTAATTCTCCTGACTAATGCTCTGTCCTTTCCCAGGTTATGATGGTGAGAATCTGGTAAAAATACTAAAAGATATTGAAGCAAGCAGCATCTTACAGATGGATCGCTGGTCAGTGCAGGTGATGCCAGAGAACCCTGATGAGAAAGGAGACCCTGTGCCCTATGAGATAATCAATAACTATTTCTCCATTGGCGTAGTAAGTATGGTGTGGAGGAACAAATGAAAACACCAGAGAAGGATCAAGAAGGCAGGGAGAGGATATCTACTCTCTACATGCACCAAGAGAAAGAGCAGCAATGGTGCTGTAAGCTTGTCGATGCCCCTGAAGACAATAGGCCCAGGAAGAAAATGGCCATCATAAACAGCCACAGGAATGAATAGGCAGAAGGATTTAGTGAGCTCAGACCAACAGGAGGACACAAGGTGGTAGCATTGGGATGAACTAGAGAGGATGTTAATGGATTTAAGAAATGGAAGGGAGAGAGTACTTGGGGTTGTTCCACTCTTGCTCTGAGATGGGGCATACCCTTCCTCATGGTTGCCTCTCATCTCAGGCGTCTCTCATCTCCACAAAGCATCTCTTCAGCCCTGACTTCTTCTCTTTCACTTTCCTTTTCTTCAGGATGCCTCTATTGCCCACCGATTTCACGTCATGAGAGAGAAATACCCGGAGAAATTTAACAGCAGGTTAGTTCAGTTGGGGAAGGGAGGAGGGGGGAGGGAGCACCTAGTGCTGCTATCCTGTTTCTTTTCAAGGTTGATTTGGCAGCTTTGGAATCTCAAGTCTTCCTCTGAAACCTGGCCTGTTTAATTCTTTTGTGTTCAGGAAACTCTGCCTCTAGCAAGGTCCCCACTCCCTTTGACACCGTGATTTGATTTTCCTGGGAATATGTAAGGGCAGCTGCCACATGGTCACATAGAGAGGATGGTCCTGCACTGGGCAGTGAAAAGGGAATACTCTCCCATGGAGTGGGGCTCTTGGCTGGCAAGCCCTGCCAGTGGATGTGCTTGGGCAGAAGTGGGGCTCACCTGTGCACCCTTTCTACGTTGCCCCTTTTCTGAATAGGATGAAGAACAAGCTCTGGTATTTTGAATTTGCCACATCAGAGACCATCTTTGCCACATGCAAAAAGCTCAAGGAGTGTTTGTCTATAGAGGTGAGCATTTTCTTTGTGGTCTTGAGGTAAGCAGCTGTTCTGGGATGGGAATGCTATTCACTCCTTTAACCAACATGCAATTCTTTGCAGCAGTGCCTACCATAGAGTCAAGCTTTAGTATGAAAATGATTTTGTTTTGGCCTTGCAAATTGTTTCCTTTGAACATGTCTAAAGTGCTTTTCTTTCTTTTATGCTGATTAGCCAGGAGCAACCTACTACATATTTGGCATTAGGACCAACTCAGACAAAATAGTTGATAAGAAGCTTGAGCTCTCAGACCTTCCTGCTCATACTAGTGTCCTTTCTGTGCTTTATCCCCAGCTATGCAAGGATGGATTTAGAACTTGGATTCTATAGTGCTGTTCCAATTGCATTCTTAAAAAGCCAGTTATTGTGTTGCTCACCTTCTTCTTTCATGTATATCTCTACCAAGTGCTGCGGGCAGTCCCTTGACCTCAGTGGAGCCCTTTCTGGAATAGCTGTCCTCAATATTCCCAGCATGCATGGTGGTTCCAACCTCTGGGGTGAGACCAAAAGACCTTTGGGGGAGGCAGCAGCACGTAGCACAGCTGGAGGAGCAGCACAGCCTCAAGTCATCACTGAAGCTGAAATCCTGAAGAACTGTGTACAAGGTGAGCCAGAAGGGTGGTTAGATGGTACAAAGTTTGGAGCCTTGTAGATTGGGCTATTTACCTTGTAGGTATGACAGATAAAAGCAGGCATGTCTTGAGAGGGTGAATGAAGAATGGTGTACGATTCCTAAGAGGCCAAGATAGATTAATATTGTGCTGCCCCTTCAGAAACATTGCAGTGAGGATTTACTAGGAAAGCTTGAGATCATGGGGTGACTTTTCTTATCTTTGGCTTTTCTCCCTCTAATTTTCTATCCAGATCTGAGTGATCGGAGGATGGAGGTGGTGGGCCTGGAGGGTGTGTTTGAAATGGGACAGATCTACACAGGTTTGAAGAATGCAGGCACACGGCTGGCCAAGTGCTCTGAGATCACACTGAGGTAAGTGGGCTGTCAAGTCAATGAGTGTATTGTCTCCTCTTGCAGTTGCTGTTTGAGACTATCACAACCTTTCCTACAACTTTCCCAAAGAGGGCAGGGGAGGAAAGAAGCCGTGCACCTGACCATGGTACATGTGAAATAATAATGCCTCTGTGAACATTCAGAGTGAATTTCTATTAGTAGTAATTGACACCCTTCTAGGCTGAGTTGAATCAGTACAGTTGTATACAATGACTCAGCCAGTGTTCTTAGGCAGCCACTATCCCTGAGCCTCACCCCAGTCCTACATCTGCCATATGAGACTAAGAATTCTGACCCTAAAGATAGCTGTGGTAATAAGTGATATGAAGGTGTGGTGGTGCTAGTTGTAGTACCAACAGATCAAGGCAGGAATTCAATGCTAAGATGCCCCATATTTACTGTTATCTTCAGCACTTGTTCTTTGTATAATGGCATGAGGACCTCTGCGAAATCTGGGTGTTCATAATCTCATGCCAACTTCCTGTTTTTCTCATGTCCTTTTTGCAGAACCTTCAAACATCTTCCCATGCAGATCGACGGAGAGCCATGGATGCAAGCGCCGTGCACAGTAAGCATCTACTAAGGCCATATTCTGTGTTTTATAGGGCTGGAGATGAAGACCTACCTTGGCGAGGGCACAGAACTCCTACGAGAAGCTGCCTTATTATAGGAGGCTTTCTAACCAGCTCATGCACACAGCCAGTGTCATTTTACAAAATCTCAAAACTGCAATGCGTTAATTGCTGGAATATGAAAATTGCTAGGAACAGTAGATGAAGGGGTTTTATTACTTTAAGCTAATCCATAAAGGCAGACATTTCGTGAGAATATATGTAACCTAAATGATTTCAAATAAAATATAATTTCACAATGTCCATCGGCAATGAATACCAATTAAAAGCTATCAAGAACAGATGAGTTTTTAAAACCCACTTGAAAGCAGCTACAGATGGGGCCAGCCATTTGCCTTCTGAGAGGAAATTTTATGAAATAGGGCCACTGAGAGGCGTTCAATCTATCTCTTGGGTGGTCAGTAAGAAGGCTTGTAAGAGTGATCTTAAAACTTAAGTAAGTTCATGTCATATGAAGGCAAACCTCAAGCTTCAAGTGATCATTGGCTGCTTTCTGTATAGCCAAAAGAACATTTCCTGCACCCCCACCCTTTCTTACAACACAGCTGATCAGTGATCATCTGGGCAATGAGGAATAAATGATTATTTCCAACAGTGATCTTCATCAGGATGGAGTATGATTGATTTAGTGGAGTATGATTAAAGCCTTTTCCCTTCACCGGTGGTTCTGTGTGTAAGCAGGAGAAAATGGCTGCATAACATGCTTAATCGGATAATTTTAAGTGCTGTTGTATTGTGCAAATTCATTAGCCTGACCTTTTCTTGGCTAAGAACACCCACCACCACCAAGAACTCTGACTTAATTGTAGAGTTACTTATTCTATCCTGGCCTAAATATCACACATACTTGGAAGAAAGATGAAAGAGAATTAACCCTCTCTCTGCCTGAGCCTTCTATTTTTGCTAGGTTTTTTTTTAGTTTTCAGTATGGTTTTCAGTTAAAAAAAAATGAAAGAAAACTGGAGAGTAGTTCCAACTCCATTTGGGTCACTGCAGATTTTTTTTAGGACATTTTTTCTCAAATTTCCAGAAATACTCCAAACACCCAGGAAGTGACAGCCACCAGAAAAGCTGGTAGGCTGTTTTTCAAAACTGCCACTCCTAGCAAACTGAAGCAAGCCACATTACTAATGAAATAGTTGTCCAAGAGTAGCAGCAGGCATAGTGGGGATTGGACTGGTGGGTATGTTCTTGTCCACCCAGAGAGCTCTAAAGGCCAAAGTATCACTTCAAACAGGCTGGCAACTGCTAAGTAGTCCTCCACTTCACCTGGACTCAGATTAGGGCTTTAAAGGTCAACTAACTGAGCTGGAAGCTCTATCTTGATGGATTGATTGAATGCCATCAGGTCAGTGTTGACTTTTAGTGACCAGATACCTATCTATGTCTTAGTTTGGGGAAGAGGAGATGCAGCCAGACAGTGATTGGTGTGTTCTAATCATTCAAAAGCTGTGGTATAGATGGTTGAATGGGCAAGTGGAGGAAAGGCCTGAGTCCTGCTGAAGTGTTGACACGTCTTGTTCTGTCTTTCTTTCAGATCAGAATAACTCACAAGAATCAAGCTCCAATGCTCATTGCACCGCCTCCCCGTTCCTCCAGCTTTTTTGGCCTGAAAAAGGGACCTCAGGAGACCTAAACAGGGTTTCTGTTCCTTTCAGGAAGTAGCTGCCTCCACAGAAATGCAACTTTGGGGCCTCTGTTGGGAAATCCTGCCGCTTTGCACCACAAGGATAGCCCTGTTCCGTCACCACCATCCATAGCAAATTAGAGGAAGCCAAACTTCTCCTCTCTAGTATTTGACAAGGCGGGAGTATGCTATATCAAAATTCTTAGCTTTTGCAACACAGATTGGCCTTGCCAGTTTCCTAATCTGAAGCAGGAGAACTTGGGCCCTCTACCCTTTTAGGTTTTGCGGCACCCTGTAATTTGGTGTTGCCCTCAGGTTTCCTACCTATGTTAGTATCCCTTTTAATGTGTGGATGCCAAATTCTTCCTTTTTTGCCCACCAAAAAGCCTCTGTACACTGCTGTCTCTTGTTCTTCAAATTCTGTTCCTTGTAGATTTTGCTCTTTGCACTTGCAGTAACTACTGAAAGACAATGGTGGCACCAGCTGTTCTTTCTTTCTTTTCTTCCTTCCTTCCTCCTCCTCTCCTCTCCTCTCTTTATTTATTATGATTCCATGCCAAGTCCTTCCCTGTACAGTTTTCTCAGAAGAGCTTCAACGTGGTAATAAAGGGCTGGGCTTGGATTTGTTCTCCCATTGTAGTCAGTTTTCTTGGTTGTAAGCAGATATTAGTTCTTAGGCTGTGGGTGTCCCAGTTTTTAAAACTTTATTTGCATTTTGGTCAAAGCTTGTAGAAAATGAAACAAGGCGTTTTATTTTGCTGGGGATACGTATGTGCATGTGCATGTGTAAGTGTGACTACATGTACACAAGCAATCTTACATGATTTCAGCCCACAAAGGATAGTGAAATGGAATCTCACCATTGGCTCATTTACTTGCAGTTGTGGGAGCATTGTCTCAGTCAGGCCTAGCTACATTGGCATTGAATACTAGGGCAGGAATAGCCCTTTAGATGTGATGAACTTCAACACCTAACCAACACAGCCAGTGGCAAATGATGCATTCAGCAACATCTGGAGGGCCACAAGGTCCCCCCCCCCCAGGTTCTTTGCACACTGGCTTTGTAACTGCTTGCAGCTGTGCAGCAAAATATGCCCAGAGGCATGGAACACTCGTGCAATGCATTGCAATCGTATGGAGGATCCAAACTGAAGACCAGCATATTTGCTGGTACAGCTGCTCATGATGAAAACCTTAATTGGATTTATAAAGGTGTCAGCCTGGATTTGCTGTGTGTTTCCTGCTTTGTGGGTTATCCTGCACTATATTGTGTGCAAGAAGGCAGTGTAAGAATTTAAGGGTAATAGCAAGCACTATAGATTTTCACTGTTACTGGATTTCTCAAATCCCTTTCACCTTTAGTCTGTACAGTATATGGATAGTTATGACTTTAGGGCCGTGGAAACAACTTCAACTTCATTCCTACTGTGGGAACAACCATGATCCAGGAGTATGTAATACAAGAGGGATAGTAGCTGAGTTAAACATGTGCATTAAGAGAAATAGCTTTTGTTAGAAAAGCCTCTTGTTCCCATAAATGACTGTGATACGATTAAATTCTTAAGACAAGTTTACCAGCTGTCAGTTTATCTTCTAAAGGAAAGTGTTTTTTTTCTACATTCCTGTTTTTTTTTAAAGTAGAAGAAAATAAGTAGGAGTATCCATCTGTCTTTTCAATATCAAAAATGAGCCCCCCTCCCAAAAAAAGAACATGGTTCCCAAAGCATAGTAGGCATGATTAGGGAAAAAAATGTAGTCTATCAAAGAAAGATGTTTGCTATAGTCATCCCACATTCTATCTGTCAAGGACTGGGATAGCTTTTTAGTACCAAGTATGCAAAAACTTGTTCAACAAGATTAGGGGGGCACTAGACAATTGTCAAGAAAGTTTTTCACTATCCATCTTATGAAGTCAGAAGGCTGCTTTTTATTTCAGATTAAAACCTATTGTTTATTCCTTTGTGGCACGAGGGTTGTGCTCTGCTTCAGAATGTATCCGAAGACTCAGATGAAGATTCCTACCATACTTCTCCAGCTGAAATTTCCAGGCACATGGCACTACAGTGCAATTGTATTGTGTGAAGACCCAACACTTTTTTTCTGTTGCAAGGCGCCCATGAAAGCAGAACATAGTAGAAGAGCTTATTCCCTTTTCCCTGAAATCATCCTTACCTTTAGCTGATTTTATCCCCATAATGTCTCAGGCCTGCCTTTGGGAGGCACAAGCTTTAGAGGCCAAGTGTTGGTTAGGGAAAGAGTAGAGCATTTATTTTCCCTGAATTCAGCAGAGGCTGGGTTCACCTCGTTCTAAGACATCAAAGGGGTTGGTTTGTAATGGTGAGTCCAGCCATTGTGCTTTGTAAACACTGGTTTATAGCTTAGTGTGAACCCAGCCAATGTGGCTTATCAACAAACCATAGCTAGGTGATGTATGAACCATTCTCTCCCTCACACTTTCTTCAGTAAAACATCCTCTGCTGGAGGGCTGTGCAATAAAGGAGGAAGACTCTGGCTTGTTAGACCTGGTTGCAATATATTGTTTTTGGCCTGGGATGGGAGATAGGGATCCATGCAGTATCTCAGGAGATACCACGCCTTTCTCAACAGAAGGGCAGGAGGCCAAAGTCAATGAACATATCATGTTTGAAGAATTAAGGCCTTTCCATACTTCCATTTTTAGCACAATAGAAGTGCAGTTGTTCATCTACTGTATCTAGCTTTGTACATTTGTTGCAGCAGTATCACGTTTACACACACAGAGAATCTGGCACTGCGGTTTTTGTTTGGTGACTTGTACAATGAAAAAATGCAGTTGGTGTGTCTGTGTTGTAGGATCATATGGGAAAATCCATAGCAATTTTAACCTACAGGTATTTGTCTCAGAAGTACAACGTGCTGATATCTACGGTTTCCAAGGTTCTGGAAACCGCCGTGGCTGTTTTCATGAGCTGCAGACAAGTGCTGTGTATGTGCTCTTGCATGTTCCCAAGTGCCTGTTTCTGGTTGAATCTGAAGCACTGCACAGGCCTAACCTGGTTAGAAAGTCAGGCTGAAACTGGGGAGGCCCAGTTCACATCCCCATTCAGCCAGGAGCCACACTGAGTGATGGGGCTCAGAGCTCTGCGATTAAAATGGGAGCGAGGGGAAGCAAGAGGCACATGGCCTAGGGCTTCCAGAGGAAAAGCACAATGTAAGTACTGTGCATTACTGGTAATGAGAAAACCTGCTACGTCATTTCAACGTATTTAAAAGCAACATCTAACACGGCTCTCAACTTAGCAGCATGAACTGGCAAAACGGAAATAAAAACATTTCAAAATAAAAGACATCAGATGTTGCATAAAAAAAGAAATACTTTTTTGTGCCTGCTGAGCATGACAAGGCTACTTAAAAGGGTCAGTATTCACAAAGAGTTTCTTAGATTTTATTGGACTTAAGGATGCTTCTGCATTATTATAAAATAAGGAATGAATCTGAACGCAGGCATCCTCTATTGAAATTCTAGTAGGGTATGGCATGGGTGGTGCGTGAAGGAAAGCAGGCAGTCTGGTGGTTGTCTCCAATACTGTAGTGGAAACAAAACAGTTGGCTGCACCAGAGTGGACTCCATTCAGAACTCTGCCTTTAGTCTTACACAGCCTTTACTCTGTCTTGGTGTTAGTAATATTGTGAAAGTTTTAGTCCAGTTGGGACTCAGGCCCTCAACAAATCTTGAATTAATGTAACCTTCATGAGCCTGGGGCCCTCTGGATGTGTTGGACTACTGCTTTTACATCCTGGAACCAGTCTGACCAATGACCACAAGTCAAGGATGCCTGACTGGGGAAAGGTTAATTAGGAAATGGAAGAATTTATACAAGAAGATATACCAAGATGGGCATTGTGGCCAAAAATGTGCAGCTCTAAACATCATAGTTTGCCCTACTGTAGGATTGGTTCCACACCCAGCAATTCTAACAATATCTGTTCAGCAGACATTGCTGAGTTATTTCTACCTTGGCTGTGAAACATACTCTGCAAGTGCTGTGAAGCTAGTTTATTTTTTGAGATGCTCTGGTTCTCAGGAGCTTATGGGTGGGCTATTGATCCATTTGTGGAAACACTTGCCTCCTGCTCCTTGCACCAGCAAGAGTTTCCAGGGAAAAATGGCGTTGATGACTTTTCAGCACTTCACATAACAACTCCTGGGATTTTTGCAGACAGCCAAATAAATGCAGTATGAAATAAGGATGAAGATGGGGAAGTCATTTATTTTACTGGCCTTTAACATCATGCAGTGGGTTTAGTTTTCTGGTGTCACATTCTTGGCATCTTGGAGTAGAGCAGTAATTTTTTTCACTCATTTCTGGAGTTTCCAAATTGCTTTGGGGGGTTTCAGGAGCAAAAACTGGTGTGTGGGAGGAACCAAAACCACCTTACAGTAATAGGCTCAAATGGGACAAATGATAATCCCTGATCATTCCAAAATCTTCCTGATGAGAACTTTTTATTGATTGAAGTGACTTAAGTGATCAGCTCTTGCTTGCTGCCTTTGCACTTTCTGCCTTATTTCACCCTCAACTGCAGGTAAGTTAAACCTGATAAACCCCAATCTTACTTTTGTGGATAATGATACAAACGTAATAAAGAAGAAAACCCTCATCAGGATGAGTAGCCTTCTTGCAGAACTATGCCAGCTTTTGTTTTCCCCCAAAGTTTTGTTATAAGGCGATACAGGAAGTCTTCATATTGCTGTGGCAAAGTGGTTGATCTGTTTTTGGTGGTGGTTTTCCCAAATGGCTTGTAGCTGCTCATACAGATATCCATCTGTACTTAGAAAAATCAAGACAGCTAAACTAGTCTTAGATTGGAAGTCAAGCATATCAGTTTAGTTGAAAAGCCCCCTTTATACCCTGCAGTTTCAGAATTTGTAAAGAGGTCCATCCCTATACAACAGTGTTTCTCAACCTTGGCAACTTTAAGATGCGTGGACTTCAACTCCCAGAATTCCCCAGCCAGCATGGCTGGCTG